CGCAAGAATTTTTCATGGGAACCTTGTGCACGGTTCAAGCTCAACGTGCTCGACCGTCATGGTCCATTACGACGTTATTTGAAACGTTGGCCGGGAAGTGTATTGCATGTTCAGCGCAAATTTCTCTGGGATACAATCCATTACTAAACCGACTGATGAAATTCCGTGGTCGCTTCACGCTGGAACTATTACGGTAAGCCTTTTAAGCTCAACGGTGATAGAAGATGACGTCATATTAGGCTGGTGTCAGAGTCCGCGATCCGTCGCAGGTTTCGCTGATTTCGCGATTTTCGCGATTTGCGCGACGGGTCACGGAAATCACAAGTGCCCATCAATACTGCAAGGTGTTCTCCAATGCCGCCGCCACTTCTGCTTGATAGTGATGGCTGAATGACGACTGCCCTCATGATTCCACTTGTTTGATATTATAGAATCTAGAATTATAGGATAGAATAGGAACGAATCATGAGCATTTCAATGAACTGATAGACATTGAACATGAAACAAGTAGAATCACAAACAGTCGTCTTTCAATCTTTCACTGTCAAGCAGAATTCGCAGCAGGATTAAACAACACCTCGCAGTATTCATCGGGCACTTCCAACTCCTGTGATCCATCGCAGGTTTCGCGCAAATCGCGAAAATCGCTGAAATCAGCGAAACCTGCGACGGATCGCGGACTCTGACACCAATCTAGAGATATTTGGCCGTAAAGCTTTCATCAACAGTAGCACCCTTTGCGAAGAAAAGTTTGATGATGTGCGCCATGGGCCAAGTGTCTCTTTTGTGGCCACCCCTGTATATATAATGGTATATAGAATAATTCAAAAACATACTAAAACTACATTTTACCATGAAAGCACTAAAAAACGGAAAAAAAGACAAATCATCAGCAACAAGTAAGGTTTTCTCGAATAAAAGAAAGAAAAGCGAATTTAGTTTAAGATGTTTGAATGCATTACCTTTTTCTTGCTCATAAGCAATAGTGATACATAGTGGCGGAGTACGCCGATCATGAAGGTGATCACAACAATCGGCAGGAATACCCAGGTACGGATTGCCGGGTCGAGAAGCAAATCCGTCATTCTGCAACGAAGTTACTTCACATGTAGCAATTGAAAGGAGCAAGCACTACACATCCATTGTATGGAGAGATCCAATTCGGTGGTAGAGTCTAGCAGAAACGAGAATTAAGAAAAACCGCAGAAACAGATTTCTAGACAACTGTCATATTCCTTCATAATAAACTATGTGTGTTCGTTCAACCGCCAGGGCGCCACCTAGACTTTGCATCGATCTCACGATTCTGCGAAAGCACATAGTCACCTGCCGCAACGTTATGGTGTGCCAGTTGATGGCTGTGGGCTGGCAGGAGTTTTTTGTTCCCTCAACCTGGGGAATAGGTTACGTCCCATGGTTATCCGTTGCCACAGGAATATGAGACGCTGAGACGGAAGCGGAAGAACTTTCCAGTCGAGTTTAGGTTCACAAATTTTCTTTGCCATGTTGGGTGGAACGGCGTCCACAAATACATTGCCTTGTTTTCCTTTCATATTAGAACCGCTGTGCAGTTAACTTCCACGTCGACAATGGCATCAGCAGGTAAGAATTCCCCACGCACAACTCTAGTATACAAGCAGAACTCTCCAATCATTGCAGCTAACTAACGAGGAAAGGTCACCAGGTCGGTCCGGCCATTTGCAATGAGGTGTATACCTACGCATTCGTCTTGAGACGATAAGCTAGAAACCGCTTTTCTTATCTGCTAAACGGTGCTCTGAACGGAGTTACGGAAGTTTTCCCCTCAACACTGTACTTAAACGCAGTATATGAGCGCTATCATTGGAGTCGCCACTATAAGCCAAGCGGGAAGGCGCACACGTCGTGGTTGACGTGGCGGTAAGTGGTAACGCTCCAGGCTTGTAGGCGAGAGGTCATGGGATCGGTCTCTCGTGGTGTTTGTTGTTTTGCCTTTTTGAAAACATGACCAGAAAGGCTTTTAGCGACAGTATCTCCTCAATTCCTGCCTTTACCTGCCTGTGTAAGGAGTTAGGGAGCACCTCTGCGCAGGTTGAAAGCTATTTTTAATTAATATTTGCCATGACTGAAAACGACGCTCATAGCCCACTGATAAGGTGTTTTTTGCGGTAAACGAGTATGTATATTCGTGTTCAGAGACCGAATTTCGTTCGTTGTGAATTTCCCTGGTTGACAAGTTTCTCAGCGTGAATCTGAGATTTGGAGAGAGTGAGTGAGAAAGGGCATCACCGTACAGTCACACGAGAGAAGGTTAAATGGAAATCGGAAAAAAAAACTTAAAAGTAAGATAAAGGCGCCAAAAGCCTTCCCTGAATTTTGATGCAGAGTCATGTAAATCATTTCCGTTATGGGAATGTGAGCCGTTGAACGTTTCTCTTTTCAAAATCTTGGTTGGAAGGGCAATTTCCATGCCAAGAGTTCAACGATAGGTTGATGATATGATGGTTGACTCACCTCATTTTTTAGGGTTGGGTCAAAATCTCAGATTCGGTAGGAAACTTATCTCCAAGGGTAGTTTGATCTCCTGAACACGAATATCACGCCTGTTTGCCGCGAAAAAGCCTGACACTTGCATTACGGGCACCATGTTCATACATGGACGACTACTGCCCAAACCTGCAAGGAACTGCTCGAAATTTTTTCGTACAGGGAACTAACGGCAAAGTTGATAAATTAAGAAGTTAGAAGCTTTCTGGCTACATCTTCACGAAGCACAAAAGAAACAGACTCTCCGAGGAGCCGTTCCCACGACCTCTTGCTCGCGAGTTCGGGGCACTGCCACTGCGCTTCCTTGCTTTATAACTACGTTCAGAGAATCGTTTAGCAGATAAGGAAGGCAGTTCTGAGCTCAGCGCCTCGAGGCGACTTCAACGGTATACGACTCATTGCAAATGGCCGGACCGGCCTGATGACCTTCCCTCGTAAGCCAATGCTGCTTGTATTGTTGGTTAGCGCGCACAACCCTATTCTCATAACCGGTAGCCATACCAGACAGTAAATCGAGGGAATGATGGGAAACTAAGGGAGGACAGGGATACGAGATGATTTTTGGAGTGGTGCGGGTCCAACTCTTATGTAAGGTAAACCCAACTTTTTCGTCACTTTTTCGGAAAACCCGAGAAATTGTTCGATTGCAGTCCTTGCCCTTGACACATCACAAAACACCACACGAGACACACCCTTCATGGACAACTGGTTTTTACGGAACAAACAGTAGACTACTGATCTCCGAACAGAGAAGGTAGTGCTAGTTCTGCATAATTTCCGGTGATATCTCGTCGTTGAATTACTAGCTCATTCATTACCAACTAAACTGAACGACATCACCACAAACGTACTTTTCCCACCACGCTAACTTTCTACTGTCGCTGAATATTTTTATACTCAGTTATTAAAAAAAACGCGAGAATGGCAATGTACGCATCGACTTTCAAACTTGCAGAACGGAGCCAGGGGGAATTTATACTGAGTGAAAAGGGATGATACAAACGAATGAAATGGCATTATTTGACGAAATATACTGTGAAACACACTACGAAGTAGGTATACATAGAAACAAATCGGTTTCGAATCAAAGTACGACGACATAATATATTTATTTCATGCGTTTATTGCATATCACACACACGACATATAGAAAAACAATTTTCATGAGGATAATGCTATACAGTGAAGGCGTATACAAGAATCAGTTGAAGTCAAGGAGTTTCTCGGGCTCTACTACGCTCTTTTTTTTACAACATATGGCTTTGATTCAGAAACACAGCAAGTCGAGGCAATCTTGGGCGCAGGGAAGGAAAACCAAGGATGAGGCACCACCACGGGATATGGTGTCATAACAAAATATAGAAAAAATCCCAGGACCTCTCCCTTAGGAATAAACAGTATCGCCCCCTGCTCTGCTCAAGTTAACAGCAGTTCCAACAACAAAACTTATGCTTGAACTTGTCACAGGTGCCAAACGACATTTCAAACTTACATTGGTCGAGACTGTTTTGCAGTCGAGCTTAAGAGGGATCAGTCACTACTAGAGGGCTTGGCCAATTACATTTTTGGAAGTTTGATTTTTCTTATTGTAAACGAGTATATCTGATTTAGTGATTTTATCAACTGAAAGTGATTTGCAAGCTATAATTAAGCCACAATGAAAGTGTTTCTCTAGGTAAGCAGTACAAGAGGGCTCAGATTGGTCACAAAACTGTAGCTCAGATCGATATGGAGACTGCTCGCTGATTTCAAGCAGTAGGGTGTGAGTGTACGTACAAATATGGTTTTCAAGAAACAGCCCCACTGTTCAAGATACGAACTTTTGGATGCGCTTATACTTAAGACACTTTCCCGTTAAGACGGCGTAGGGTATTCAGATCTCAACAAATCAAACTAAACACTGGACAGAGAGCTTATTCTGGCTACGCGATTGATCCAAGAGGCCGACACACAGCAGCGAGCATCGCTGTGAAGTTCTGGGCATATTTCATTACCACTGGCAACATTGATGCCATGATGAGCCTATAGGTGTCGAACCACCAGCACCGAGTCGGAAAGTCTCATTGCTGCTGAAATAATATAATAACTCTTTCTTGCAAAAAAAGACCGTTAATTTCTGTATGTAAAGACGACTGGGATAGGGTAGTGTACTGAAAATTTGGAAGTTACAAACAACCTTCTGCGAAAAAAAAACAAGGATATGACATATATATGTGATTAGCAAGTGACCGAATTGGTACGATATCAAAACCTACGCAGGGTCTCGATGAACGCCTTGATCGTACTGGCGTTTCAAAATCGTAGCCAGTTCTAGAAAAGCTGCGTCGACGTTGACATTGCTTTTAGCGCTAGTCTCTACCATCAGAAACATACCTGGAAATAAATTAGTAGTAGTATCTAGTTTTCATAATGAAACACTATGAGATCATCAGGGACTGATCCGCAAATTCACCGTAAAGAGTAAAAAATGCTCACCATTAGCCCTTTGCACTAATTCACCTTCCTCTCTTTCAACAACACGCTGTTCCTCAAGGTCACATTTGGTTGCTAAAATAAAGGAAAAACATTTAAGAGGTAATTGCCGTCAATGTCGAAGCCAAAAAAAGAGTGAGCACTCACCCACTAACAGCTTTACAACGTTCGGTGCAGCAAACTTTGAAACGTCGTCAATCCACCTAAACAACGAGATGGCTGTCGGTCAGAAGACAGATCAACACATTTAAATCCAAAGAGGTGTTGAGTCAGGAGATATACAAAATTAAGCATATGACCATAAAATGATCTTTGCACAAACATGGGAAAGAAAAGTGACAGATCACATTCGTTTCGCGGAAATCCTATTCTGCGCATGGATATAGGATATTGAGCGCTTTTGTGCTCAAGTAGATTTTAGAAATTTTGCACAGTATCTTAAATAAAGGAATCAACTAGATGTCCTCTCTCCACAAATTCCAATTTTTAACCAAACAGTCTTTAAAACAGATTTTCTTCCGGTTTTCTTTCTACTGCAAATGTCCAGAAAATAAAACAGAAGTAAATGAACAAATACCTTTGCAAACTGTTGAATGACTGTTTACAAGTGATATCATAGCACAAAACAATCCCGTTCGCCGATCGGTAATATGACTGCGTTATAGTTCGGAATCGCTCCTGTCCACCGGTATCCCATATTTGTAACTTCACACGTTTGCCATCTAAAAAGATTATTGAAAAATAGAGTAAGGAAGGATCAAGAATCACGGGGTGCTGCTTTTGCTCCATTTTTATTTTTGCTGTAAATCAGCGCGAAAGAGCAGCGTCAAAATGATGCTACTTAATTGGACCAAAACAACAACAACACTAGATGAGTAAGCGCGTTCCAGAGCTGGTTTTGGTCATTGCTTCCAACACAAATATCGGAGGGGCCATACTGCTTTTCCTCCACTTATCCGTTTGAAAAAATAACTAAAGAAAATTTTCCTACCTATAATAAGGGTTTTCATAGTGAAATCTACGCCTATCGTTGTTCCCTGCCTATCAACATAGGTGCCATTTCGAAAACGTTGAACCACACATCTGAAAGATTGGATAAGGTTGACATACGTGGTAAAAAGTTCTGTAGCTCTCTAGAAAGAGAAATTATGAGTAGTTACTAAAACTTCGGAGAAGCTAAAAATCAAATGAGGTCAGCTTTACGGTTTGTTCTGCTTGTGAGACAAGCTAATAACAAAAAAAAACAAAGGAGAGAAAGAGAGGACTGCTGACACGACTTCAGCACGTCACAGGGCAACAAAATTTCGAGGAAACATAGACTTGTGAGGAGTCAAGCATAAAATTTAGGAAACAAAAGCCAAAACAGTCTGGACTTACGTTTTCCCTACTCCCATGTCTCCAATAAGCACAATCTTGAATAAATAATCAAAGCCATCATCTCCATCCATAGCTATATGTGAGCGCTGGCACGAAAAATACCAGCTAATTAGCAATAATCATATATAAATATCCTGATCTGAAACGACTATAAGTAGGAACAGTTAAATAGTTCAAGATGGCTAAATGTAATAACGTCACGCGCAAGGGCAGCCACATGAGCGAAAATCGCAGCAATATCGAACATTTGCTCCGTTCTTCATCGTTGTACACTAGTGGGTAAGACATTGTGCGTATTGAGGAGGGCCCAAAGAGCGTGTTCAAACATTTGGACACGACGCCTTATTACGTCTTGGACTAAGTACCGTAACCAAAAATCAATGAGGGTACACAGCTTAGAATGGCCATACGTTCTAGAGAGCTATTGCGAAGCTTGTTCGCTGATCGTCTCAACAGAGATAGGTAAGTGAGGACAAACATCTTAATTTGTGTAATCGATAGGCTGGATACATAATTAGCTCAATAATGCATGAAGCTGAGGGTGATGAAGGATAGCCGAGCAAACGCCGGCAAACAAGGCCAGCCTCCTAACAACCACGCATAATCCCATTACAACTCATAATATTCATTCCTACAGAACACATTTACGGAAAGAGACTCAATTATTGCATTTCGGACAAGGCGCCGTAATGACTAGCACACGTTAATGTTACATTTGTTCAATTAAAGGTTGTGCTGACGTACGACGCTAGATTGGGAGAGGTGAGCAACTTTAGTAGGACTCCATAAAATTCGATAAGCAGTGAAGAACACGACGCACACCCAGTATGCAACCAACTCATTTGATTCCACGCCATTCCCTACCTCAGCAGAGAAGGGACAAAAAACCGAACAATTACTCAGTAACGTCGAACGAGCAATTTTAGTGAACTGGGCTGTTGACTGTTGTTCACGAGGGAGAACTCCTCAGCTGCAGCCTTCCTCTCAGTCAAATTTAAATGGCAGTCAGAGGTCAACAAGGGCGACTCAAGGACAAGGCAACATTATCAGGCTTCGCATTACTTTGGCAGAAACATTTCAATATACACCAGATGTTTGAAGAGATAATATAAATGAGTCACGATCAGAATAGGGCATCTCGTTTTTACCCTACAAAGTTCCAGCAACAAAAATATTTGCCTTGATACAACCTTTTCGGAATAGGATAACAAGGATGGCGCGTCCTCCTCGAGACTAGGCGTGGCAGTACAGCACCCATTAGAATGGAGTGAATAAAATTCCCGCCCCTTCACTTTTTGCGCAGCTAATTAGACAACGTTCGCACAAGAATTTCTATAGAACCTCTCTACTGCAGCGTAGCATCACTCACAAATTATGAATAATTTATTGGCTCTTGCTTGCTTCATCAAGTGAGAAGAAATTGACTGCGTCAACTTTCCATTGACCCAATGGACTCAAATTACGAGCAAACCTGAAAAGCGATATGCTTCAGAGTTAAGAAACCTATGCGTATTAACAACATCTCATTAACAACCGGAGTAACACATACGTGACGTTTGAAACGATGACATTATTTTTGTACTTATTTAGAAGTTGTGTCATAGTAGCATCATATGGAACAGAGTCATTCATCCGTACGAAGGATGCGACCGTAAAATAGATACACAAAACACTTTGCACATCTTCTAAAGAAAAAAGTTCAAGTAGAAGCTTCAAGATGGAATGAAAAGTAAGTAAATAGCGAAAGAAAGATAAGGCCTAACTCGTCATAAAATTCCTTGCCGATATGAAAGACGAATGCAGAAATGACAAAATAACATCATTAGGATGAAATCGGAGCATATCCAGTTGTTCACTAGTGCATCTGCAAGAAATGACTTGCTAAAAACTAAGGATACTTTCGAAACCTCATGTTTAAAGAACAGAAGAATACCATTGTTCTGTTGATATAGTTCAGGCCACTAATGGTAACTTTGTGCAAGTAAAAGTGAAGAGGGCATAATGAAGTGAGCATCTGAGTGCCCAAAAAAGGTTCACCTGGTGAAGCAGACGAGGGAGTGTAGCGAAAAAGACCATAGCCTCTTCTAATTGTGAGCATAGCAGTTAACAGCTTTTTTATGAGTAAACCTGCCCTTTAGACACATATTGATTATTCCGTGGAGAAGCAAGATCTCGTGATATGGCAAAGCACGCTATGGCATCGTCAAGAAACAGGTTCACAGTAGTAAATTTCGACTGGTTGTTTGAACGTCTTTTCATCAAGATGCCGCGCATATCCATCGGGAAGAATCTCCCAGCCCTGCGCCATAATAAATCAAAAACGCCGAAAAGTACCATGTGCATTACCCAACCATGTCGAACCCACCTTGATGCATACTGTTGTTGGCGCTCCGAGACTTACGGGAGTCACCGCCTGCGACGGTAAATTCTACAAGTTTCTACTAGTGAGGAATCAGAGGAATCGCGACGTGAACCAAGTTACAGTTCAAAAAAGTGACTCATCGTTAAAGCGCAAGGGCGCTTTCATAGTCAGTTGTTCGAAGATGACGATATGACAGTCAACTATGAAAGCGTAGTACAACAGAAGACATCATAAATGACCAACCTGCGTCTAGCTAGTTTTGCTTGTTCAACAAGAATCGCCGATGCCACCACACTCATACGACTCCATTCCTCGTTAGCAATACATTCTCCAATGACTGAGGTGCCCTCAAATAAATTCCCATCAGAAAGATTCAGGCTTTTAGATAACTCAAGCCTCTCATGCAGTAACAGATACAAATATTAACAAAAGAGCAGTTCACATCGCAGAAGTGATATTGCAACACCAACCTCGTTAGCAGCTAGAATGAATCTTTCCAAATTATACGCCTTTTCATACCACAACTGATAAATACCTTGTGACAAAAATGTCCCCACTCTTCGTGTCAACTCGAAACTGGGAACAACCACTTTAGGAGACGGGAACAAGCAAAGATATGGATTAGGCGCTACCTAAAAGTACATTATCAGTAAAAGAATAAATGATTCAGCACTGATGAATCCCTTTTGAGACGCGCCACGCATTCTCTTTCCATTTAAAAACTGTACAAATCAGTGCTATTATACTTCACAGCTGGTCTTTTACCAAATCATCGACCAGGAGAGCCGGAAGGATTGGTTCGCCAAGACGGAATCAAACGCGACATTCGACCTCTAGACGGTGCACGTGGGCAGTGAGGCCACTTTTCAGTTCAGTGATCACTCGGGTCCAAAAAAGTATACTATTGGATGCAACAAAAAACCTTGAATGCAATACAAGGAAAAACATAAAAATCTATTCCGCTTAGAAGCGAGAAACTATTTTTTGTCACGCCTACCAGACTACAGTAAAAAGAATCTCACACTACTACGCATCACTGCAGAGACTTGAACAAAAAAGCAGATGGAAAAAAAAATTTCTACGGTGGGGCATGAGTTGGTGAAAAAAAGAACTTCAAAAACAATAGCAACGATGAGGCAGAGTTCTTGCATGGATCACCAGATTCGTCTTAGCCTCTTACATATAATTCTACGATTTCATGATTTCGTTATGTTGAATTGCTGAGTGGCTTCACTTTTCCAAATGAACGGGATTCCGAACTCACGGGTCTCCGACCGGACTCCCTTTAAGATTACTGTATCCGAAAATACATGGTCCCTTATTCGTCTGAAGTGGAATACACTTGATGCTTTTCCTCGTAGGTTACAGGCACTTGCAGGTACATTCCGCAGTTGAGTATGCAGGAATTATTGCGCTCGTAAACAACGCTCGCGGTAGTTCACCTACCGGCAACGAAATTTGGCAAAAAACTGCTAGAAAATTCTACAGCCACAAGCGAGATAACTGCGGCAGGGTTACAGCTCCTCCCCTAAAAGTCTATCATTGGCTAGCCCTTCCTCTGATGTGATGAAATACGAAGAAATAGAAGCGATGGAGCCAGCTAATGAGATCCCCATAGTGGCAGCGACCCCCCCCCCCATACCTGGGGCGGTATTCAATCCTTCCCCCAGGGGGATATATCCCCCTACTCTGATTCAATCCTCTGGGGGGGACAAAAAAGGGTTGCGTCATAGGACCTAGCATACCTCTGTGTTTCTACCTGCCAGACAGTTAGAGCAGCGCGACCCCTCAGGGAAAGAGTGCTTCATCAGTGGAGGGTAGTAGCGCTGCTCTAACTGTCTGGCAGGTAGAAACACAGAGGTATGCTAGGTCCTATGACGCAACCCTTTTTTGTCCCCCCAGAGGATTGAATCAGAGGAGGGGGATATAATCCCCTGGGGGAAGGATTGAATACCGCCCCTGGAGACGGACTACTTGCACCCGGTCCTTTAAACCGCCTCAGATCCATCTTTCGTCTGCGCTCTCTCGCCTTATCAGCGACTCATAGCCATTGTGATCACACACATTCAAACTTTTGCCACACTTTAGTCGGCTCACCCACCTCGAAGTCCCTCCCTCCTACAAGGCTTAGTCCTAGAGCTCTCACCTCCCTCTCTGGGATTTGGAGCCGAGCCAGGCGCGCGTTCTAACTGTCTGTGCCCTCCGCCATTCGTGACTACCTTTGGGCTGCGCGCATAAGCAGCGGTTACAGTTTTAAAACGTGTCTTTCATTGGTAGACCAACCACCACAACCTTTCACTTTCGCACATTAATCCTCCTACTCACTCGTGTAACGTGCCTTGTGGGAAAAGCCATCGTGGAGATTGTCGAGAGGTGTATAAGCCTGATTCGGTAAGGATTATTACAAGGTTGGTCGAAATTACCAAGTAGTAGATCACACGATGGAAGGACATGAGCCTGCGGAGCTGACAAGTGTCGCGAGCTTCGTACGAGAGTGTGAATAGGATCATCACATATGAAGATGATGGGAAACATCCTGCGAAGCTCAAACTTTGGGACCTCAGAAAAAAAAAGCAGCAGTGGAATATGATCATACAACGTACCCTACAAGCTCAGCGATGAGTAACCAAAAAAGAAAAAACGAAACTGTCGCCAATCAGACTTATCCAGAACTATGGTATCGAGCGAGCGAGAGACGAGGTGTCGGCTCACGGGCGGGCGTTTAATGCATTTCATGACGACCAATTTGCTCGATTCATGGCGCACGAAGGTCACCAGCCCAATCCCCCAATTGCGAAGCAAAGGACTTATTCAGGGGCGTGGCGAGTATGAAGCTGAAGACTATTGCGGATAAACACAGGAAAAATGGAGCGTTAAAAATGTTCACCAGAAAGTGTGAGAAGGACTTTCGAAGGATGTTATCGAGGTACAGGACCATGCCTGTAAAGTCCGTTCAAAGTAACTTCTCAAGTTCATGGGCAGATCCATAATGGGACAGAAACTGTCCAGGGAGAGTGTCCGCTAAGACCAATATCGCGACCGTCTTGGGTTCGAACTGGGATGAAATGATTCTTGGTCCCACATGATGTCCGCTCTATGTGGAATCTGACATTCCTACCCTGCAACGAGCTGTGACGGCAGCTTAGCATTATTAGGAAGGCATTTCCAAAAACTTTAACACAGATACAATCGAAAATATTTCAGACTTTGCTTACTCTTTCACACTGTTGGTCCGTTTGAAGAACTACGCAACAGCAGATATCTACTTGAAACCGGTCCGGTAGACCAGGTAATACGATTACAGGTACATTCAAGGTCTGATAAAAGTCCACTTCAACTCATCCATGGGCATGGAGCGAGTCATCTACCGCACTATGATTTGGTCTACTAATGCTATTGGTACTCTAAAAGCCATAAGACCTTACCGGTTCTTCAACATCAAACCCTGATCCCAAACTATGTTCCGTTGTCGAAGGTGATGCTTCAACTGCACGAGCAGCAGCTGAAGATAACGCACGATGAGCTGCATAACGCAGCATGGCTTAACCCTGAAAAATATGAAGAAGTCAAGCTTCCAAAGAACCGTAAAGACACACCAAAATGATCTCATACCGTAAGTTACTTAATCTACTTGGTACTTGAACGTGCTCCTAGGAAAAAACACCAAGAAATCGAGAGGGATAGGGCTTTAAACAACTTCCGGAGAGACGAGCACAATGGAATTAATCCAATTAAATTTGAATTTACGAGGTAAAGTATTAAAAGGGTCGAAGGTAAACACCATCGCGGTATCTCGCACGGAAAACTGCTTCACGGCAAACTCGCCCTCGGCTTTTCGACCCGAGTCGTCCTTATTGCATGGAATTCTTGGGAAAGCTGGCCTACATCAGTGGGAGTTTTTCTTCCAGAAAATTTCAAATATTACCGCTGCCTACTGGCAACGTTTTCATAGACCTACTAGTGCGATCGACGCTTGTCGAACGTAGTCGTGCTGCGCAAATTTCCGGACGAGTTGTCCGCCCATGTTTGTTGACAACCGACTTAATTTTTAATATGGCCTAAAATATTATATCTTTTTGTTCCCTTTATTCAGAAGGTATTCTCACATCGGTCTTCTGCAAACGAAATGTTTTGGAAGAAATTCTTTTTTAGGCGAGATTATCTAGAATTTTAGTTGTGATGAGACGTTCTCGGCGTGCTGAAAAGACCATCAGGGATGTTAATGTGCTTCCGTAATTTTTCACATGTGATGCCTAGAAACTGGCCAATTGAAGGCCTTAAGAGAAACTGTTGGGCGCCTGCTACTCGAGTGGTGAGGCAGTAAGAGTGTTCGTGCGGACCCGTTAATCTAAATTTTACACAAGGAATTCGCCGTTTCTAGAGTTTTTGGGTCTGTTGCAGTTACGGGGGCATCATTATGCAGTCTCTCGGCGAACTAGTGCTCACACCTCACCCCGTAGACTGGCTACACTCCCCCTTGGCTCGAATTTACCCTAGCTTTCTGAAAAACTGCGTCATGATATACCCCCTAACTAGAATAGACCTGAATTTTTGTCATATAAAATTTGGTAGTGGATGGTGCGACCGAGTAGTTTTAAGCACGGGTGGTAAAAATATCAGGAGGAGGAGCTCTGGCGTCGGTGATCAGGTAGGAGAAGCAGAAGGGATTTTCGTGTTACAATTATGCCTTTCGGAGCTCCTTCCTCCCCCAGGCTTGTCCCCTCTTGTTTACCTTGGNCTGTCCTGTACTGTCTAAGTGAACAGGGCTGAAATATTATCTGCTATGTAGTTTCTTTGAATTGAATGTGCTACTACCTCGTCCTTTGGAAGAAACTTTTTCTTTCCGGTTTGCTCGAGAACATCGTAGCGTTGCGGTTTACTGGAGATGTTCCTGCATTTTTTGAAATCTGAAATTACCATTTTCTAGAAATTGAATGTTGTATTTCAGGTACAATGCGTTACGTTTCCGCGTACCTCCTTGCAGTTGCCGGTGGAAACCCATCTCCAAAGGTTAATAGCATTGTAATGTGTTACACGGTTGTGTAACGAAAGTTACATGCTACCATGAGTACTAAGTTTTCGTTCTAGTTAGATGATATCAAAAACATCCTCGGTGCTGTCGGAGTGGATACTGACGCTGAAGCTGCTAAGCTCGTCATTTCACGGCTAGAAGGAAAGAATATTGAAGAAGTAATCGCTGAGAGGCGCTTCTGGTTTGGTGGCGGTAAGTTCTATTCCTCTGCCGTTGTCGCGTTTCGACTGTGCTTTTTCTCGAGCCGTTTTTCCTTTTTTAATGGAAATTTTTGCGTTTGCGAGCTTGCGTGAAGATCGCGAGAAGTTGTAGTGTTCCTTTCTTAATTTGAAGCCAACCGGGTAAAGCTCGTGGCACGGCCAGTCAGGATCGAGCAGTGGCATCCTTTGTGCATCCAACTGTTAGTCATGAATTTTCGTCGACGCAGCCAAAAATACATGTAGTTGGGAAACTGAGAGATACAATGAGGTTTTCGCTTTAGCTCCAGCCTATGTATTACTTGAAGCCGGTCCCAAAGTCGGAGTTAACCCTTTGGGGACCTTGCGTCTCGATGTGGAGACGCAGCATAGAGATGATTTTTCTGCGCGGATTTTCCAAAATCATTTTAGTGGCATATTAATCAAGCGTTGCAGTACCTATGGTAATCATGGTCCTTGCATATCTTTCCTAATTGATGTTTTACATAAGGGGATCTTGAAAGTGATTTTTCAAGGGAAAGCTTGCTATTTTCGAATGTATAAGGCTGGCTTTTTGTTTCCATTAGCTAGAGTAGTGATACAACTTTTCACAGAAAAAGATCTGGATCGGACCCAATATACGGATTTTAGAATAGAAAACTGAAGTGTTTCCGGCTCGCTGCGAAACCCACCTTGGACAAAACGAAAAAATTTACGCTTATTTTCGCAGCCATCGGCAAAAACTTGATACATGCAAAGTCTGAACAGTTTCTGCTTTGAGATTCAATATTTCTGGTCCGGTTGTTTGCTGAATCGTGACACATTTTTCGAAAATATTGAAAAAGGCGTGGTCCCACGTAGCAGACACGCGAAAAATCGCATTGTCGCTAATGGGTTATCGTATAACTTCGTATAATGTATGCTATACGAAGTTATGGGAGGGGGCACACCGCCTCAACTCAGTCAGAAAATAGATACAACAAACAGGGGATATATATGCAAAACCGTTTTGACACTGCATTGGAAGATGGGACGGTGCTTACCTGTTGACCTTCAGTGGTAGTAAAGCTGGTGCAGGGTCCGTGATCCATCGTGCGGTAAATCGTAGACTCTGACATCAGCCTTCAGCCTACCTCACGAATTGAATTTGCTACAGAAGAGATAATCACATTTTGCAGTAATTACACCTCTTACACGTCTTACACACAGTTCAAGCTGGCGAAGTTTCTGAGGAACTTTTTTGTTAGTTCTGAATTAGAGTGGCTTTCTGTTCTTGAGTCAGTGTGCTTCAAAGCTCACACACGCCGTCATTTTCACTTCTTTCTAGTTTTTGGCTGATGTAGATTCGGCAGCTGCCTAGAGGTATTTATTTATATTATTATATTTATTTATTTATTTATTTACTAATACATCACAAGGATGTGCCCACAAAGAGTGTATCAAAGAGAAAAACAAAACACGAAACACAAATTCTGAAGCACACTAGATTCATGCACATTATCGTTAATATCATGAGATTTCTGAGCTTCATTGTGTAATATGTTCCTCGCGTGGAATCATATGAAACTCTTCAAAATGTTTTATACGACTACGACAAAATATTGACAAGACATTCTGAAGAATTTCATCAATACCACTTGAAGAACAGGTGACACCTTAGTTAATTAATGCCATTAGTGTATTGAAAAAAGAAGTGGTTCAAATTCGTGTTTTCGTTGCTTGCATTGTGTTCGGGTACTGCAGAACTACTAATTCTCATACTCTCTCTTCTGCTTTCTGCCCACCTCGCCACCATTGCAGAATTTTTTACATTATATTCTGATCTTTCCGCTAACCGGTCGTAGACGCGTTGTTGGTGGACTGCTCATTTCGGATGGCCTAACGTTTCTGTTCATCAATAAATTTGGTTAATCTGCGATGCCTCCTGCCGCAGCATATCAGGTGTAAGATTTTGACGAGTGATTGTTTGGAGGTTTGGGAGCTTTATTGTATAATACTGCCACGTTAGCTATAGTACAGACGATTAGGGAACGGTGTCTATCTCGGGTCCTAATCTCAGTAGGGAAAGTGAGAGCCATAAGATAACTTAAGACTCTAGGGTGGGTGAGCCAGTTACAGTGTGCAAAGTTTGAATGTGTGAGATCGCAGTAGACAAGAGCCGCTGTTTAGGCGAGGGAGCGCATGATCAAATTGAGGCGGTTCAAAGGACCGGATTCTCCTAGTCTGTATAGACGGAATGACAACTTGCGACAGCGTTTCATGCAATTCGCCAATGATCCCATGTCGATGCCGCTAGCGCATGCAGCGTGCAAACCGCGAGCAATCATCGCTTACGTCCATTATCCGCCCTAGCGATAGTCTGACGGCTGCCTATGTAGAATCAATTGGCTATAAAAAGGCTGTGTTTGTTCGTGTATGATTGTACCTACGTGAAAACTACTGCAGACGCTTATTGGAAAAGCTGCGTTTAAGACTTAGAAATAAAAGTGTTCTATTTTCAGGTTAGCGGTGGTGCTCCATCTGCGGCTGCACCAGCTGCTAGCGCTGCTGCCCCAGCTGCTGCTGCTGCTAAGGAGGAGGCCAAGCCGGCGAAGAAGGAAGAGAAGGAGGAATCCGATGATGATATGGGATTCGGTCTTTTCGACTAATTTTGTTATTGAAAATAAATTGTTGTGTTTTTGAATGAATCGCTTTCCTTATATTGACCAGTGATGATATCGATACTTTTGTGGGTTTGCAAAAAAAACAATCTTGCGAAATGATTACAGGGATCAAGAATCCCGACTGAGTGGTTACACATGCATGGTGTTTACGAGGTGATCTCCAGTCCTCTCGGCGAGGTGAGAGGTCCTCTTACGCCTTACGGGTAGACGTCCATTGGCTGAGCGGCTATTTCCTCCTGCTGCCCTTCATTTGTCATCATTTCGCGCACATGTCGTTTTTCGCCCTTTTTCTTTGGACCTGAGCTTCGGTTGAGACATTTTGTCGCGTAATAGTGTATGGAATTGCCAAGTTCAAGTTTGCTGTTCTTTTCTTGTTGAAGATATTTCGATAACGATCTGGTTCTGGAAGTCAGAAGTTTGCACTATCCCTGGCTCTAACAACGTCGGGATCTCAGGTAGCTTGTCGGTTCGCTTTCGGGGACAGGAATTTGAAACTGAAAACTTTTGGTGTCGCCCCGGGTTTGTCCTCCATCTCGAATTCTTTTTCCATGCAGGAAAGAGCTGCCCTGGGTGAAGACGCAGCAGTCAGACATGATGAGATCACTGCATTCGGGTATTTGAGGAAACACCAACCAGCCGTACTTCTCAAAGCCGGCCTAGGTCGATTTCTCATGTGTGGTCGTAATGAACTTAATGTGTCCATGGCCGGTTCCGTTTGCGATTATTCTGACTGTCAGGAAACCACAACTTCTAGACTTTCGTCTTCTCAGTGGCTCTGGCCACCTTCAGCCCGAACGAAAAAATCGAGACGGAGAATCAGTTTGAAGAGGAACTGAATGCCTGCCTAAAATCACCTCTGTAAGAGTTGAGGAGGACAATGGCCTCCTGCTCGTTGTGACTTCTAATCATGACTACGCGT